GAGAGAGAGATCTATCTCTCTCTCTCTCTCTATCTCTCTCTCTCTCTATTCTCTCTCTCTCTGTTCCTCTCTCTCTCTCTCTCTCTACAACAGGCGTTTATGTTTACGCGAGTCAATAGCGCGAAAATTACTTGCATTTTCTATAAGGTAAATATTACCGGCTGGCGCTGATGGGTATAAATGGCAATATTTTTGCCAATTTTTTCACTCTGACTTCATATTGACAATTTTTGACTTGAATATTTTGTTGACATTCAATCAAGAAACAGCTGCGGGTAAAATGTACCCATTGGCGGTTTTAGTGTTAATGTATGAAATATGTGGCATATTGTGAGCTTTCTGAGGTTACGTAAGTGTGAATAAGTACTATGTGTCTGCTGTTGCATCCACTGTTTGAGTCCTAGGTCGAGCAGTAATTTAATCAAAACTATGTAAAGCATAACTTTCCGATGACTGCTTTGTGCTCAAAAATCCATTTTCTAATCAGCAAAAAATATTAGAAGAGAGAAAAGACTCCGCCAATAATGTGTAGACTTCTTGTCAGTGGTGCAACATTGTGAGATTGGGAGCATGTTGAATAACTGCTTCACTCCAGAAATCTCTAGCCTTAGTTTCCAAGAGAGTCAAAGTGCCAACTTCTGGGCAACCCTGACACTTCTTCTCGCTACATTGTGAGCATGGCCATACACTTTGGGAGCTAACATTATGTATCAAGAGTTACAATTCTTGGTATAAGACACAATTCAATATCATTTTTAGATAATATTCAACAGCAGCTCTCCACTTTAGCTGTGATGTCAGGCACTCTTTAATACAGAGACTATATGAAAGATGTACTGGCCTTGTAGCCTGAATGAATAAGGGTTACAAAAGATTGTGAGATTCATTGAATGGGAACACAGGAATAGAAAGTATGAAAGTTATAAATGATAAAAGCAAGAGAAATAGCTAGCATTCACACCTAATGAATGCAGAATCCATGAAGTCAATGTCACTCAATGTAATGTATCTGGGCAATGTGTCGAAACAAAAAGGAGGTCAGAGCTTTACAGTATGTGTTGGGAACATCATGCTTTATTGTAAGAAAAATATAAAGTTTAAACATATAGTAGAAGAAATAGGAGACACTCTTACCTGATTGGGTCCCGTCACACACATCGTTCCCTGCTCACTCAGTGGAAGAGTTTTGTGGTCAGACCAATTGACAGCCTCCCTTTTCTCTTCCAGGTCCAGGTTATAACTAAAACATAACAACAGATATTTCCTCAGTAACACATGCTGTACAAATCTTGCTAAAGGCCACAAACACAAAAAGCCATTATGCAAATCTAAAATGCTGGATTTTTAAGAGGCACTATTATGCGGATTTTCAGGTTCACATTGTATTTTGTGTACTGTGACATGTTTACTTGCTTTAATGCTCAAAAAGCTCTTTATATTTCTCATACTGCCTGTGTTGCAGCACCTCTTTTCACCCTCTGTCTGAAACCAGAGCCTTGTCACTATGTAATAAACAACCTACTGTATACAGTAGAACACACTACAGGCAAGGGAAAACCCCCAAAAGCATAATAGGGCCTCTTTATTGTATTCCACACGTTTGTGTTTATTCAGCTGCTTTTTTATAGAGGAATATTCGCTAGTTGTTTGCTCTGAGGGCACCCCTCCCTCTTCCACATATCATTTCATGTTGAGTGTAATTACAGAGGATGTTTTATGGTTTATAAGGGAAGCTAGCTATATCATTGTATTAATATTACCAAAACCATAACCATAAACATAAAGGGATTTACTTTTAATCTTATGGGGGGTTCTTGTTGTGTTTATTGTTGTGCTCTTTTGCATAACATCCTCAGGAGAAAAGTGGGGGTTAGAGCAGAAAGAGAGAGGAAAGAGGAGTTGGCCATTAAAATGTGGAGAGAAATACATGAATGTTTAGTGAAGGTGTCTTTTGTTGCTTGAGCACATTTTTAATTTTAAAGCAGAGATGGTGGGAGTAAAAAAAAACAGCTGACGAAAAACAAGACAAGCTTCATTCCTGGGAGAGCAATGCACAAGGGGGTTATTGTAGTTTGAGCGTCATTATTTAGGGTTGGGTTAAAAAAAGGGCTTTTGGTTTCAAAAGCCCTTTACTCCCGGGGACTGAAAGCTTTGTATTTCCCTTTTCTTGTATGCCTTTATTTTGAGTGAGATTGTTACCGTTCATCCTGTAGTGCTGACCTTTGACCCAGGGTTCTGTGCTGAAGAGCTGGACTCTGCTTAGCTGAACTCGCTCCAGATGGAGGGCCCTTGTATTCTAAAAAAAAAAAGTTCAAGTTAAAGAAATCAGTGTGAAAAAGAATATATAATACAAATGTCTATTACTTTTTTTATTGTAATTTTAAGATGAAGAAACAATACTTTCGAATATGGTCAACAAGAAGAAGATGCAGCATTCAAAAAAAGCATTATCATCAGACGTAGCTGTCTTACTCAATGTGTTAGTATTACATTAACATGTTTGATTGAATGACCAAGGTTTCTTTTTCATTAATCTAACATTTTCAGATGAATAGGGTTTTTTTAATCAATTTTTTAATACCTCCATTAGAACTAAATCTGACAGTAAACTATTAATATTCTCTAACTAGTTTGATAGCTTTGATTAAATGCCTTAAAAACTAATTTCCCTGTTGCCGACAATAAAGTAAAATCGATGACAATACCAACATAGTCCTGCAGACATGTGCACTCAGAGATACCCACCATCCTCAGGAACCACAGTGAGGGTGACCACGTTGCCGGCCTCCTTGATGAGCAGCACAATGTCGTTGTGAGAGAGCTCGATGATGGAGCGCCCGTTGACCGCTGAGATACGATCTCCGACGTGCAGCAGGCCGCAGCGATCCGTGGGACTGCCATCAATGATTCGCCCGATTTTGTGTGGAATGACTGAAATGGTAAATATGAAGAGAAATGACACATTACCACGTACATGTAGCAGATATTGTGAACAAAGAAAATATGTCTAGAAAACCAATAGAATGGGAGTTTTTATTGTCAAAGCAAAACTGCTTTGGTTTGTTTAAATCTGGTTGAGGTCTTGAATTGTTCAATGAGTGAGAGTGTTAGTTGTGGAAATGTTTTTATCAGACATGAATATATTTATTTTTTGTTCATTGTCACATATTTGGTATTTTCAAAGTCCTCAGAGTCCTTCACACTTGGCTTTTTGAGGAAGCTAAATATTCCTGACTCCAACCAAGAATGGACTCGCTTCTGGGCTAAGGGTAACACATAGAAAATTGTTTTTCCTACCGCAGATATATGTGGTTATATGATTCTGTATGATGTGGGATACACTCTATACACTGAATAACTGGTTACTTTATGTAATATGGCATAGCAATGTCTATGTGAGCTAGAACAAGATCTAATCTGAATTATATAATAAAGCAAAGACAATCAAGATAATTTAGTTTGTTCTATTATTCATTTAAGTCCCAATTGACTTGGTGTACACGTTTTTTACATCAGTATGTATCACCTATGGAAGATGAGCGAATCATGGTTTGTTCTATGCGTTAGGCACTACCATTAAATATACAGCAGCTTATATACATCCTAGAGATCCTCCTTCTCTGCTACAAATGAAAATACAATATATTTTGCAATAACATCAGAAAACCAGACATCAATATGTTTTTCTCCTATTGTCTTTGCTACCACTGGACTATATAAGGATTATATCATGATACAAATACTGTGGGATCATCCATTTTGCAGTAGTAGCAATTTCCAGAGGGATAAAAAACCTTTGAACTGCTTTTTTTTTTTTTTTACATCTAGACATATACATTTCCACCAACTATAAGCCTAAAACGTATATTGTAAATGATTGGTGCAGGATTTGAGAATCTAAACACTCACCTCCATGGGGCGGTTTGCTCTTGGAGGTGAGGATGACGAAGCCAAAGCCCTCAGATTCTTTGCGGTGGAGTGTGATGTCAAAAGACTCGTGGTCCAGATCGCAGGGCATTGGCAGGTGAGGTAGTTTCGGAGAACCGTTCACCAGCACTGGAGCCATTTCCAGAGCCTCTTCATCGTTCACATCTGAAATAAAAGGATACAGATGTTATTTGTGTTTTGTGCAACTTTGTATTTGCCTGCATTCCTGAGGGTAGAACCGACTGGAGTTTATTGTGTGCTCATGTACAATAAATATGCAGATAAAAGTGGTGTCTTGAAAGTGCGGCGGTGTAATTTACAGAGTGTGGATGTTGAAGCTGGTTGCCAATAACTACCAAAGACAATATTGAATCTAAAATTAAAGCTGTGATATTACTTTAGATAAAACAGCATGACCAGTGCTCAAACAGCTTCATCTTGGACCAGCTATACCCATTTATTGCTAAAGACAACTTCTGAATAATTATCTTTTTTTAGAACATACATCTTTATTTTAACCACTAAGCAATGTTGTCACTGTCAAAATATAAAGTGAGCCAGAGGATTTTTTCCCCGGATGTCCAGCGTGGTGTTAAGAGCAACACATTTATCATGATCTAAATATAACAGTGTCAGGTTTTTAAGTGTGTCAGGTTTTGTTCTACTTGTTACCCACCTCTGTATATGACCTTCCTGCGGATAGTCAACATAACTTGACCGTTGCGGGCAGCGTTGGTCATCAGATCCAGCACCTGCTTGTGCGAACGACCTTTCACCATCACACCATCGATGCCAATGAGCTCGTCTCCCGCTCTCAGGCGGCCATCCTTCTCTGCTGCTCCGTTGGGCACAATGGCCCCGATGTACACCTGGGGAAACACATTCTGATGGAGGGTTAGCATGAGGAAGAACTGGCCTTTGAGGAAAAATATGATTTATTAATCATTAAGGTGTAGAAGTTGTGAAAAAGTAGAAACAAGTGCAATCTTTGACTACACAACGTGTTATTTACACATCTAAAACCGCCACAAGAAAAATAGTTACTCTCAGTATTCTATGTTTCCATAGTACCACACTGACACTGTCAACTGTTACTGTGTGTGTTAGTGTGAAAGTATTACATCACAGAAAAGACACATAAGTTGATTTCAAGGGTTTACCAAAGCCAATGGTGAACTATGTCATTATAGTCTAATACTAATGTTCCTGCTGCTATTTTGTTTCCTGTTTTTTAAAAATATATGTTTGACTTTTGTCTTGTTTTAGTTCCTGTCTCTGTGTTTTCCCGCCTGTTGGATTGTCAATTTATTTTCACATGCAACCTCTTGAGTTTACCATGCCTTCCCCAGCTGTGTTGTGTATTTGTGCTTCGTGCTGTGTGGATATGCCCATCTTCCCTAGTATCTTCATTGTCAGTTGGTCATCTATTTTTCCCTGGTGTTGCTCGGTCAGTCGCACTTGGTTTTCTGTCTCCATATTATTCTGGATTTCCTCGTCTGTCCTAGTGTTCTCATAGTCTTCCCAGTTTGTTCCTTATTTTTTGTGTCAGCTTTCATTTAAGAAAGCTTGCTTTTTGTGTGACCTAAGATTTTCAACGACATAATTACTCTGTAGCTATGTTAGTTTGACAATAAACCTTAAACCTTTTTGTTTTATACTTTTATACCTTCTTCCTCTCTTTCATACTGCCTTTGGGTCCTGATGTTCTACCCCCATGACAAAAGGCACTTCAAATCAAATACATTGGGATGTCCCTTTCCTTATAAAGTAATCTTTCCATAATAGAAATCAAAATAGTATGTATTTGTCATATATACTTACTGGCTGTTGTGGACCTTCTCCTCCCAGAACACGGAAGCCAAAGCCGGTTTCAATGTCTCTCTTGAGAAAAACGTCTATGTCTTTGGTGTAAGGCTCTGTGGACAGAGGTATCACAGTTTCAGGTTCAAAAACTACTTCTGAGAACAATTCAAGCTGTGTTTGTCTTCACTTACGTCTGCTCTCCAGCAGGGCTTTGGACTTCAGGTACATCTCCGTGGCCTCTCGTTTGGGGGAGTCGATGGAGCGCAGGGTGCTCGTGTTGGAGTGGTAAGGCAGTGCCTGGGGGGCTGAGTCTGTGAGGCAGTCCAGAGTCTCAGTACTGGCCGTCATTTCCGGCCTCTGAAAAGACACACCATCAATACTACATGTTGCTTTCAGCATTGTTATTTTTGGACACATTCATTTTAGAAGTTTATTAGATCACACACCCTTTGTATCCACCAATAAAGGACATCACACTTTTTATTGATAGTCTCAACAGCTCATTATCCCAGACAAGGGGCTGAGCATCTGATACTGATAGATTACCAAGAGAAATAAAGGTCACTTGACTTCCACTTGTTTTTCCTTTCACTTTGTATTCCTACAATTGTGATGACGGCTTAGCAATGAGATTTTAATGCAATTAAAAATCCATGGGAAAACTAAAGATTTTCCTTGTGGACCCCATTCAGGCCGAAAGGGCAATTTCTTTATCTGAAACTGTTGTAATAATACCGCCATATCTAAAGAGGCTCATCCATGCTTCATTACCATTGCAATCCCCTGACAATAGCCCTAAGAATACGAATACTGAAAGGAAGTAATTAAGAGCGTTTTTCAGAGCAAACAAAAGGAGTCGCCCAGAAACATAATCAATATTCAAATGTATTACTATCATTTAATTTGATGCAACAGAGGCTTACTGGTTAAGCTGAAGGACAAAACGCTTTGAAATTAAATTGGGGGGTGATAAGTCCCCAAGGGGGGAAACAATAGTGAGGAAATAGGAAAAGATATGCTTTTACTCACAGGCTTGAGACTCTTCACAGGGGATGTCTGACCTATGAAGAGACACAGATAGGAATATGGTCAGGAATACAGATATGATTTGGAAAAAACAACAATCACTGAACCACCAGATGGCACTGCCTCTTTGGCTGAGAAACCAGCAATGAGCATACAAATAAACCAGTACAAAACTCAAGAGGTGTACTGACTTAAGAATGCTCCATTAAGGAATATGCATCCATGTGCGATTAAACATACATAGGGAATATAAATGTGCTGGAGTGCAGACTTCATAGTGGAAGCCCACTGCAGGGCTGAGAAAGCGGGTGAGCGCATTAGAAATTCATGCATATAATTCAATGACCGATAATTCTCTCCTCTCTGTTCGCTGTACAGTACACCCACACACTCCATCTCCAGCGCTCAGATTCTTCCCTACAGATCATCTCGTACAGCCCCCCTCCCATCGACTCCCCGCATTAACTGGATTAACAAACACTCCTCTGGAGCCCACAGCCCTGTGGGGCCGGACCAACACTTGGCTTGATGAGGGGTTAATGGAGCCTGATGTAAAAGGGGGGAGACGCAGCAGCATTTTTCTGTTCCAATGCGAAATTCCCAATCCAGCATCAGATCCATTGAAGGCACATAAAGGACGATATGGCTATGCACACACCTGAAACACACTTTTTTCCTTCCATCCTTCCTATAAGCTTGGACTTTTCTGTGTGTATTGATGCCCGCCCACCCCACACACACACACACACACACACACACACACACACACACACACACACACACACACACACACACACACACACACACACACACACACACACACACACACACACACACACACACACACACAACACACACACACACCACACACACACACACACACACACACACACACACACACACACACACACACACACACACACACACACACACACACACACACACACACACACACACACACACACACACACACACACACACACACACACACACACACACACACACACACACACACACACACACACACACACACACACACACACACACACACACACACACAGATCCTTTACCAAGCCAAATGCCATTGTCTAATGAGGGTTAAAGCCAGCATTAGCTCTGCAATTGGGCAAGCTGAAAACATCTGTGCCCTGTTTGCTTTGACTGTGGGATCATGCAGTGCATTAGGGGAGTAGGCCATGGTGATGATGGCACAGCAGTGAGGTTGAGAAGTGGGAGAGGAGAGACGAGAGTTGGGGCGTGGCTGCAGGGAGTAGGCCCCTGTCTCTATAGACATTTAGCCATGGCTCTTTAAGGGGCCATGGATGTAGAGGCATCCAAAAGTCCCCTACGCCCCGCTGATGATCAAACCCAATCCAGGGTTCATCGATTTAAGCAGTGATTCCCCGGGGCGGCTGAAGATGATGGAGACATCTGAAGGGTGCCTTTACTCCTCCCTCTCTGCTTTAGATTCAGGCACAACCCCACGCTTATGTAATTCCTGCTCTCAGACTTGTAACAGACTGCAGTACGCCTGGATGGGTGTCGTCATAAACAGAGCAGAGTTGCGTGGAGACACACAGGAGGAGTGCTCAAGATTTTCCCCAGATGTACACGTACAGTTTGCAAATGCGAAGAGGCTGCATGTGACGGCGATAAATGGGGCTCAGTCAGTCAGATCGAGTCGGATCAAGTCTACTCTATTGTGGTGACCTTCTACAGGTTGCAGACACAGTGGCATCACACAGGTTTCTACAAAGCAGTGTGTTCAGTCAATGCCCCCCCGACCAGCCACTACAACACCTCACCTCCTGTCAGTATCAGCACTCTGAGCTCACCCCCCATGGGCCCTGTTGAATTGACAGCAGTGGTATTGACAAGTATTTAACTACGATTAGGAAAATGTAATTAAAGTATTAGGAGTAAAAGTAAATATTGCAGAAAAAACTGGATAGAATGAAAGGACTGAGATTAACAGCCAGACAAATAATTTTTCTTCCAGTGTCTCACCTCCTCGCAGCACTAGCACATTGACCTCGCTGCCCACCGGTAAGTCTTTGAGGATGTCCACCACTTGGGCGTGGCTCAGCGTTTGGACGTTTTGCCTGTTGATCTCCTTAATCACGTCTCCTTTCTGCAGGCCGCGACACCACTGGGCGTCCAGGATCATCTTCACCTTCTGGCCCAGCGGGCAATCGGCGATGGCAAACCCAAACCCCCCGGGCCCCTTGATCAGCGGCACGCTCACCAGCTCTGGCTGCAGCAGCCCTGCCACCACCTCCCCGTGCCTCCCGTTGGGCAAGGCTGCCACCACGGGCCGGCCGCTAGCATCCGTGGTGACGTAGTGGAGCTCCTGAGAGGAGCCGTGGAGGACGTCGCCCTTCACGAGCAGCGGCTGCCCGTTGATCAGGGGCACGGCCGTCACCACCTCCCCGCCATGCAGGGCCTGCTGAGGCTGGGTTGCCGGTGGGAGAGGGGGAGGTGGAAGAGGGTCGTCGCTGCTTAGATCCACATCTGGAGGAAGCGGGTAGCCACGGCAAAGAACCATGTCTACATACTGGTTGATGGGAATGGATTGGAACATCTGCACAACCTCTGGATGGGTTTTTCCAAGCACTGACATCCCGTTAATCTCAACAATCACATCACCTAAAAGAGGGGGAGAACAAGTGATTCACTTTTGGTATTTAATCCAGACATCACGTCTCTACATTTTTATTGGAAAGCACTTATTCTTTCCTTTGTCAGTTGGACTTTTCTTCTAAAATGTCCCTTTCCTCTTCACTGCTATCTCAGATATTTCATTTTGACATCTCCCTTTCCTTTTATCTTCAGTCTACCATTCAGTGCTTCTTTATTCCTGTCCCTCCTTCATACACTCTATTGTTGAGCAGACCAGAACAGCACTCTCTGCCACAACTGCGCGGAAGGGAGACGGGTGTAGATTTTCGTCACATCGCACCATTGTATCCATCACACACACACACAGAGCTGACAGCTGTTGGTTTATGTAGACAGTCGCAAGGCAATGGCAAGATCAGTAACTAAACAACAAAGGCGGCACATGGCTTCCCTCCCACCCACCATAATCAGACTGTCTGCTATAAACCTAAACCCTTGACAGAGCTAGAGTTGCTGTTATTGCTTCTTTGTTGAACACATGGGACAGTGTTAGGTTAAGTGAACACTGCAGAGGTAACACCCCCAGGTGCATCGTGGTAGCAGTTGGCTGTAAAATCCATTTTTTTCTAATATCACAGAAACTACAGTAGAAGCTTTAAACTCATCCATCTTCCGGCCAGCTAAATTAGATTTAAGTCTTTAGGTGTACATCTGCTTTGCTCACCAGAGGCCATCTTGTTGTCGTGGGCAGCAGGGCCGTCGCTAAGCACGTTTTTCACCTGCAGAAACTCATCAGTGCGGTCTCCTCCGATGATGGTGAATCCAAACCCTTGGGGGCTCTTCTTCAGTGCTGTGTGGTACATCTCCCCCTTTAGTTCGCTGGGGTCTGAAGTGAAGCTGAACCCACCTCCCTTACCTGCAAACAAAGAGCACATGTGTGTGTGTAAAATGGCTGTTTGTAAAGAGCGTATGGAGAGGGAGGTGTGAGAAGTGAAACGAAAAGCTATATGAAACTATTTAAATCTCCAAACAGCGTTGACATAAAAATGGAGCAACACAAGACAGCACAATTCTTCCACGTCTGCATTGAATGACAACGATGACACACATTATGTGCTGAGGAACAACATAGTAATTAGTCACTTCTAATTAACAGGCATGATGTACATGTCTAAACTAGATAAACCCATCAACAGGGACCTTGTTGTGTATCCCTTGATATGAGCACAGACACACAGATAAAATCATATAAATGTTAGCTTAAGATACTAATTCACTTGCTACCGGTTTTGTGCTTCCACTTTTTACAGAACCATGGAGCAGAACAGTAATTGAATACCTCTGACAGTGTCCTCTCTTATCCTACTGCAGTCAATGATGCAGAAAAATGAGGTTTGTCATTGTAGACTTTTTATAACTGGAGTAAGGAACAACTTAAGGTCAGTAGCAACATCAATACGGACCAGCAGCTCGGCTGTGGCATACGCTATACTCTAGATAACCAACTGTCAGGGTCACACTGAATTAAACGGAGCAGCTTCCCTATCTGGCATTACTGCGGTATCAGCACTTTAGATCATGGACACTCCATTTTTCCCTTGCTGCTTGATGGACTCTGGCCTTTACTGCGTTATAGCTTTGAATCAAACACACTAAAACTGAAGCCAGAGGGTGATATATGATGCACATTCTAGCAACCTTGCGTTATTTGAGAGCATTGGATGTTAGATGTGGCAATTGAATGCAAGAAATATCATTAAGGTTTTAGAAATGGTGCATAACTTTTTAAAGACGCTACCAGTTTATTTATGTACAACATTGTTCGATTGCAGTAAAACAACCTCAAAGCTCACAGGACAAAATACCATTACTAGTAATACAATAGTTACAGAAAAGCTGGCATTATACTTTAAATTCCTTATTGGCAACAAATCCCATCAAAAGACCAAAACCAATAATGTTTGTATCTGTATACGCACGCCCATATACTGCTATAGAAGCAGAAGATTGTCATCGTTTTTTATATTAAAAGAGAAATAAAAAATATATCTTTAAACAGCCTGGAAATGCACATATTCAACAGGTCCCTGCTGTAGTCTGTAGTTCCCACATGTTTGAAACACTCCACCATCGTTCCTGTCCCCAAAAAGACAAAAATCACCAGCCTCAACGAGTAGCACTCACTTCATAATGAAGTGCTTTGAGCGGTTAGTCAAATCATTCATCACCTCCTCCCCCCTGCAGTTTGCCTGCAGAGCAAACAGGTCCACAGACGACACCATTGCCCTCACCATCCACACTGCCCTCTCACACCTGGACCAGAGGAACACGTGAGAATGCTGTTCATTGATTACAGTTCAGCCTTCAATACCATTGTGCCCTCCAAGCTGGTCATCAAGCTCAGAGACCTCGGGCTCAACAGCGCCCTCTGTGACTGGATCCTGAACTTCCTGACGGGCAGACCCCAGGCAGTGCGGGTGGGAAACATCACATCCTCCACCCTGATCCTCAACACCGGAGCCCCTCAAGGCTGCATGCTCAGCCCTCTCCTCTACTCCCTGTTCACTCACGACTGCGTGGCCAGCTCCAACACCATCGTGAAGTTTGCCGACAACACGACCGTCATCGGCCAGATCACAGACGGCGGCGAGACAGCGTACAGAGAGGAGGTGGAAAACTTGACATCTTGGTGCCCGGATAACAACCTCCATCTCAACGTCAGCAAAACAAAGGAGCTAATTGTGCATTACAGGAAGCAGCAGAGATAGGGACACACCACCATCGCCATCAATGGGACTACGGTGGAGAGAGTCAGCAGCTTCAGGTTCCTCGGTGTTCACATCACTGAGGACCTGACATGGACTCTTCACACCATCACCAAAAAAACTCGACAGCGGCTCTTCTTCCTCCGCAGGCTGAGGAGGTTCAACATGGACTCCAGGATACTCTGCAACTTCTACAGGTGCAGAGAGTATCCTCGGCCTGGTACGGCAGCTGCACCGCCCTCAATCGTAAGGCTTTACAGAGGGTGGTGAAAACTGCACAGAACATCACCAGGACGGAGCTGCCATCCATGGAGGACCTTTACTCCCAGCGGCTCAGGAAGAAAGCCCTCCGGATTATAAAAGACCCCCATCACCCCAGCCACAAACTGCTGCTGCCGTGTGGCAGGCGGTACCGCAGCATCCAGACTAAAACCACCAGATTCAGAGACACATCCCACAGGCAATAAGACTGTTAAACACCTGAACTGCTGAAACAACATCCATAACATTCATCTGCTACTTAGTAATTATTTATCTATTTATCTAATATATCATTCCAATAACTTGCATATAGACTCTTATTTCACTATTTAACTTTTTTAAACAATTTCTCTTTTTGTATTTACTATTTACTGTTTTGCACTATATTTTTCTGTTTATCTGTGTTATTGTGTTGCACTGTTGGAGAAGCCGGGGACACAAGATTTTCATCGGCATAACTACACTGTAGCTATGTTCGTATGACAAAATAAAGAACCTTGAACCTTGAATTCATTGTTGTTGTTTGTAATACAATAAAGTTTGTTGACAATAAGAAAATGATGGAATATGACCAGTGGTTCTGGTTATGAATCATGCTTGAAAAGGAACCTAATCAGATGGTCTGTGGTTCGATTCCAACTCCCCACATTGTTGTATTCTTGTGCAAGATACTTTCCCAAAGTAGCTCCCGACTGCATGTCCAAAAGTGTGTGAGTGTGTAGCAGCCTCTGCCTCTGTATAATTGTGTGAATGGGTAAATAATGACTTGTGTTGTAAAAGCGCTTGGAGGGGTCGTAAAGACTGGAAAAGCACTCTATAAACGCAGTACATTTTCCTTTGGCTAAATGTATATGTGCCAATTGTATGTCTTTTGAGATCTGCAGCTAAAATTGGATCTGAGAAAACTGCATCACTGCATATGTACGGCTCACCTGAGAATAACTGCCCTGTGTCTGTGAATTTAAAGCTGCATATCTTCTTCCAATTCCACCTTTTTATCTCTCTCTGTTGCACATGGTGATTGGACAGTGCCACATTTTTGCTTCAGCTTTTTTCTATTTCCCCTCTCATTTCGTTCAGTTTTTAAAAACCCTATAACTTTCAGAGGCGTGTGTGAGGAATTTAAACGCAGGCACTCTCATACTATCAAATGGTTCAGCAGTCATAAACATCCAGCGCAGACATGAATGGCTCTGAGTGAGTGTAACTTATCACAGTCGTGTGCACTCCAGATGTCCACACTGTAGCATGGATCAAACACAGCTCATTTGCATAATCACATTCAGATTGCTAGAAAAAACACTAAAAATGGTTTGTTGTTTCTTCTTGCCGCCAGTGAGTGCTAAAATAACCATTCTACTGCGCGTTTGTGTGTGAATAAAGAGACAGAGGTAATGGAGGGCGAATGAACTGCGGGAGGAAGTGAGTGTGGCATGTGTGAGTCTGTACTTGTGTGGGAGAGTCCAAGGAAGGTCTCTGTGCCAATGTTTGTGGGCAGACTTTGAAAGCCAGAGGCAGATAAAAACCATCAGATCCACCGCATCAAACAGCTCTTTGATTAGTGTGACTCAATTGCGTTGTAAATCTCAAGCGACATTATTCAGCATAATTGGGAAGACATCTCTCTTTCTACATCAATGGAGCAATAGCTTCAGCTGTATCCAAAAAATGCACCTTGAACATCGGAATTTGAAAACAACTGTCAATGCAAGGCCATCTAACAGGGAAATATCCTGTAAGCAAGCTATCAGAACAAAGCAACATGTGGGCACAAAGCTTGGTATGCTATCGAGCTAAAACATCACATTGTTGCCATCTTTCAGGCTAGCTTCAGCAACACTTCAAATGATGTAGACCAGAACATTGCTCATTTTCAATGACTAAATAATACTAGTGATAAAAGTGGGAAACACGGCTTTTTGTTACATGTACAACTAACCCTGCTGAGAGGAGCACGAAAGCACAGATACAATGAAAAACATTTTAACTTAAAGGTCCCCTATTATACTGTTTTTCATCAATATATTATAGGTCTCAGATATAGACAAACATGTCTCTGAAGTGTTTGGCTCGAAACACCAAACAGATCATTGTAGCATCCCATAAACCCCTCTGTTTCAGCCCTGTTTCAAAAGTGCTGATTTTCTGTCTGTTACTTTAGATGAAAATAAGGAGCCCCTCCCCACGCCCCTCTGAGAGATATTTGGTTACACAGAACACAATGGTGCTCTAGGAGGAGATTCAGGTGATAAGGTGGGGGGGGGGGGGTTACCTTGGTTGGTGATTGGCTAATGGTTACACAACCCAAAAAAACATTATGATATCATAAAGTGGCCACAATCTGATCTGCTCTTGTTCAGACAGGTTTTTATATAAATGGATCAGGACAAAAAGTGAGCAAATATTTTTTCCTGAAACTTTCAGAGTCTCTTTACACAGAGGGGACACATGTTGATGTAGAAAAGACATGAACAAGTGGATTTTGTATAATAGGTGACCTTTAAGATGCTAGTTCACTTGCTAATGTTTTTGTGGAGCATAAACACAGATACAAGTACATTAGCATTTAAAGCTAACATCTAACAAGCAATCTTTAGATGCTCATTCACTTGTTAATGTTTCGTGCTTCCACCTTTTCCAAAACTATGGAGCTGAACAGTCTTAAAATTCCTCTATAATCATACTATAATGTCATGTCAAGCTGGTGAAAATAAGGAGTGAATTATTTCGCAACATTTACTGTATATGTGTTTCACTCCTTGGGAACCTATCTTGGAGAACTGTACAAATCTTTATTCTGGCCCGAGGTGTAACCGTCGCCTCATGCCTTGGTTTCATAATGGCAGCCCACTGACAGCTCACTAGGTTGCGTAATCGGTAATCAGGGGCGAGATGGCGGTTTCCTGAGTCCCTACACACCTGAGCAGAGAGATGTCTGATTACGCTTGGCCTCTCTGACGTGCTGTTCCACCAGCTGTTGCCACATGCACCGCTAAAAGCCGGCCTCCTCCCCTGAATTCCCTCTCGCACTCCCTGGAACCCTTCCAGCGCTACACGCCTGTCTGTCTCCACTGCTGCAGCACACTAATCTATTATACATCCATAGTAATGAAAACATACTTAATTCATAATGTTTATTGCAGCAGAAAAATGGCTTGTCAACGTAAAGAACAAACCATTATTGTAGCACTGAGGGAAAAACACGAGCGAACCAGAGTAGAACATGTTCATTTTGATAATCTATTACTGTTTGAGGCTACTGGAAGGTTGACACGTCCAGCTGACCTTGCATGAAATAAGGACATTCCGACTGCTTTCTATTCCCGGTAAACAAAGCGACTGAGGTGAAATGTTAGACTCGGTGCAGAGCAAACTCGAAAATAATTATAGTAGAACTTAATTTGAGATAATTGCCTTATGCTTATGTCCAGAGTGATTAAAAATGAGTATGGAAATAAAATAAAAAAGTTACACAGCTGCAATGAAGCCAAACATACAGCTGTTGTTCTAGAACATCACAGATACTAGTGAAGTGAAAACAAGGTTTAAAAATATTAACACAAAAAGGTAAGATGTTTTACATATGCACAGGAACAGAGCGATTTGTCATTTTCATTTGAGATGACTTAAGCTTTACTGGAATTTCCTGCTGCGTTGTTTCTACCCAGAAAGACAATGACAAGTGTGAAAGTCGGAAAGCTGGTGGATTAATTATAGTTATTATACATGTGCATGCATGTCTGATAAACCTGAGGGAGGTGTCCAAACCAACGACGCAGGGTACAAGATATCTCCTGATGTTTTTTTAAAAGTCTCTGTTCCATTTATTGGAGCAGATATGTCGCAATTGCAGCAGTTGCAGTTTTTGTATGTGTGTACAATCAAATTCTGTGTGTCCTTACCTAAACTCCTCTGCAGTAATACAAGTCTTTCTATCTTTACACTCCAAAGGGAGAGCAAAGGAGAGGGGGACAGCTTTTGTAGAGTTGTTACCTTGGGTAGGTGTTGCTGCGGCTTGTTGGATCGCAGCCGTCTCCTGGCTCAGCTTCTTTTTTGCCTCCAGGACCGGGTTCTCAAACTGGGTTTTCTGGTTGATGTGGCTGCAACAAAAACAGGCTCACATTTAAGACACCTGCAAACACACACACTAAATATCTACACACACACCTCTGACCTTTTGAGGTTAGTACGCCACTTTTTCACAATTAATTATGCATGCACCTTCCATATAAAGGAATCATGATTTTTCAACACATGGATGCTAATGTTGCACCATTATAAATACATTCATAGACACAGCACACGTAAAATAAAGGCTTGCTTGCCTCCCCTTTATGTGGGGAAGGTAGTATAGCTTTTAGCGATTGTGTATTGTCGGAAATGAACCCCTAACTGCCAGCAACATCCTGTTCCTCTACTAAAAAGGTAAACAGCCTGTTGTCCCCCTGGCATACAAAGCACAGCATCACAGGGAGCTCATTTCAAGCGAAAACACTGGCAGCCATAAGCCCCATCTTCACGCCATTGACTCTCCTTGTCCAAACAGTAAGAGCTTCTCTCCCGTGTCACTCTTTCTACCTAGGAGGGATCCTACTGCAGTCTGAGCACTAACACAATTCGAGTCTCCATTTTATTTTCACCACAACAGATTGCTACCTCACCTCCCAGCCCCCCTCCCTCCTCCTCCCTTCATGCATTCTAGTTGCTCCCCACTTCTCTCTATTCCTGGTACAATGACTGTGTTTCACTGATTCTGCCGGGGTGGTGAGGAGGACAAACACATTTTGGACTCAGACAAATGTACAAACAATATGCACAGAGAAGTATACACAGACTCGGCATTCTGCACACACGCTCATTACGCTAACACTGGCAGAGCACAATCAGACTAGTGTTCTCATACACTGATGTTACCCGCAGAGATTCATTTTGCCACTGCTAAACAATGGGAAAGTCTTGATCAGAAACTTCAATCGTTCTCCTCGGCCGAGATGAACAAAACAAGCTTCAGTTCATACATTTGTTTATTTATTTTTTTAAAGTATTGATTCATGCTGGTCCACTGCTAATGTACACTTAGCAGTGTAATAGGCACTCTGATCCTTCTGGTGAAATGCATTTGTGTGTTATGTGCATCTACGAGGAACAGATGGAGTGTTTGGATATTGCATATATCAATAAGTCGATACAACTTACTCAACGTAGTATGTGCCGTACTGTGGATCGTCAATTTCCTCCCAGCCGTAAGGAAGCTCTGCAGAGAGAAGACAGGGTGCTCAGGCAAAGATGCAAATGGAGTTCACATAAAGATAACAGAAGGAAAGAAAGAAGAAGAGCTGGCACAATGTTTCCAGTCAATCATCTGGGAGTTAACATATTCAACATCGAGGTGATGAACAGCAGTAGTACCAGTGTATTTCTTTCCCCCTGAATGGGACATTTAGCATAAGGCAGTAGCCATGGAAATCGCGTACAATTATAAAGTGAACATTTCCGTGGTTTTAAGAAGCAGGCCGGCTGGAATGGCTGATGTACGCTATGCCCTGATGAACATATCAGGGCGGCGGGAGAGAAAAGAACTCTTCACGCAAGAGAGAGCTTTGGAGTAGCTTTTCAGAAGCAACACACCAACTAGCGTTCTGTCCGCCTGTAAAAAAATCCATTAAAACCCGGCTGGAAGGGTACCACTCTTTCAACCGTGGCCACTCTCTGTCTCTGCCTGCACTTAGGCCAACATTAGCATCCTGGGGATACAGGAATTCCTCAAAGTAGTCCCCAGCTTTAGGTAAATTAGGTCATAAGGCTGAGGGTTACTGTTGGATGACATGTGGATTCAAAGACAAGTCTTATTTTAGCCCAGTTGGTTGTCTGATTAAAAGTGTAAAGTGATGGATCATGTAAGGTGGAGCACATACAATGGAGGTATGCCTTTATGTAAATGCATGTGCAGTGGTTAATGGGATGACTGTATGCTTGAGAACCCCAGCTGAGTAGTGCAGCCTACATACCTCCATCCTCACACTTCTCAGGGGGCTTCGCCTTCTTCGCCAAGCGGGGGTCCAACCACGTGGTCGTCTTTGTATTGTGACTGCGGAGCACAAAAGCAGACAGTACATATCAGCTATAAAGACCTGTGCCAGCAGAGAAACCGCAGCTGAGGCTCAAGAAGCCAATACAAGAATAGTTAATAACTGAAGAACGACAACCGAGTCCCCTATGAAATATGCCTTTGTACACAAGAGCCACTGGATTCATTGTAGAAACATCTGATCCATCGGTTTATGTTCAGCTGTCACATTACCGTGTTTATGGTTACATGGCTTAAAAAAACACTTTGAATGAGACACCAGACAAAGTGATTTATCCTCAAATGTGTTAACAACTGGGGTGTGTAATCAGGAGGAAAATCACAATGGTCTTCTGGTATCTTTACAGACGTGTGGCTTGGAGCCAAATATGAATAAAACACAGAAGCTTGCATGCACACACATGTTCTGTACTGTACTGTAAATACACCCACACATAAAGACATCTGAGAGAGGCTTGTTTATTGATTGTTCTTAAATCAAAGTATTGATTGGTTTAGAGAAGAGCTTCACACATATTTATGTTTGGCAAAGTTAACACTCGAAACGATTGCGGCCAATAAATCAGACTATTTACACTGAAGCTCTGAGCTTTACTTACACAATAAGTGAGGGGCCTGGAATATCATTGCAGTTATAAAGGAAACATCACTTTATGTGCATTTTAGGCTGCTGGATACTGGTTTGATACAAACAGACCCATTATCTGTGTTTCATTATGCTATAACAGGGCTTCTCAAACCAAGGTCCGGATCCGGACGAACTGCAAATCAATCCGGACCGAACCCTGTGTCCCATTATAAAAAAAAAAAAATTATTTTTTAATAAAACAATTATACAAAAAAAATAAATAAAAACGTTCTGATTCTGATGTAAATGAAGGTATATTTTCTTGTGTCTGACGCGTTGTGAGAATGAACGTGCATTTATATATATATATATTTACTTGTGTGCGCGAGCGTGACACGCATTGCAGACCGCAAGTTAACCGCAAGTTAACCGCAAGTTAACCGCAAGTTTACCTTGACTTTCTAATGCTTCTAATGCCTTTTTTGCAGAGGTTCAAGGCATTGGCTACAGACCAACAGTTCCATTTCTCCCACTAGTTCAAGCCACCATACTGTATGTTGGCTTGTATGGTGGTTTACTTCACCCAGTAAAATGGCTCACTGATGTGTTTTTAATAGTTTTTTGGCCTTAGAACTGCTGGAAATTATTGTTTGTATAATCACTTCATTGTTGCATATTGCATAATATGCAATAAGAAAATTATGAAATATTACCAGATGCATAATTTCACCTAGTTGCATGTTATTAGGTTAAACTATTTTAGGTAAAACTATTGCAGTTTTTTGTTAACTGTAACTACAATACATTCAACATTATTGAAAGTAATAATCAATTTTGGTTGATACTTATTTTAATAGATTAACTAAATCATTTAGAGATTGCATTTCTTTTTTTATCAGTGACAGGTGTTTCTTCTATTTTGTCAAGCATTTACATAAAGGAAGGTGCATAATGGCAAAAACCTGTCTCTGTATACACTATTGCAGTATATACTGTATTGTAAGAACGCATTTCCAGAAACACAACTGGCTTATAATAATAAAAGACACAGAAGTGCTGTGAACCCTCATTATGAAAGAGAATGCAACCTTTAAATGTCTGGCATTATATTATTTATTAAACTTATTGAAATGAATCGTTGCTCATTAAATACATCTATGCATTAGAATGGATGTTCATAATTAGTCAGTTCCCTAATTGACCTCTTGACCCGCGTGATGTGTCTTGCACTTACTCTATGAAGTAGACCATGCCAGTCTCGGTGTAAGCCATCTCCCAGTTTAGGGGCAAGGGCTCCAGGCTGTCATCGCGAGGAAGAGAACTCCATGTACGGAAGTCCATGCTGCTGCTTGACTGGGTGTAGCTGGGCACTGCTTTCCTCCAGTCTGCCCCCTCTTTGAGCTCTGGAGAAAGGAAGAAAAAACAGGCATGAAGCAGAGCAGGCAGAGTGGATGGTTAGCCTGCGGGAACACCTCTGCCCCTCTGTGTTCCTGCGAGCTGCAGGGGAGTGGAGGAAGAGCTGCTGTCGCTCACAGGATTTGCATGTGAGAGATAGTGTGTGTGTGTCCGCCAAAGGGCTGTTTTACATTTGCATGTGCACACTGTTAATGCGCATGTGTTTATGTACATTCCCTGTGGGTTGCAATGATAGTGGCAGCGATTCACATTGGAAAGGGCCATTTGCGCCTGAGGCAGTTTCTGTATGATAATACTTAACTGCTGCTCTTCACCTATATATACCACTGCATTAGTGAAACACCATTATTCAGAAGCTGCTCTACACTGAACAGGAAACATACAACAAAGGCCGCCCTAATTCATTTAGCATTTCACACCTTCCCTCAGAAGATGGTTATAAAGGGATGAAACACGAGTTCTTTTCATCCCTTTCTTTTATGTGGAGCTAACCTCCTCGCAACAGAGGATGATGCCTAAAGATGTTAGGCACACCACATTTAGGGATGTTGCGTTTTGAATGAGATCATTCCACCTGAATTTTAGATTAAATACATAATTTGTACAAAAAAAGCAAACACAGAGCCCCTTCAGCAGGATCTAAAACACGTTCTTCTTTTTCCGCTCTGATCAAAAACACAAAGCTGTGTTTTTATATTTAAAGGGGCACAAACACACAGTAGATGCACATCTGTTCAAAGAGCCATGTAAACACTTGAAGCAGCCTGAGGGCACAGGCCTGAAGGAGAGCCGGGGACATCAGGTTCACAGCAGGGTGAGGGCCCACTTAACAGGGGGGAGGGGGAGGGTGAGAAGGACAGACAGAGCAAAGATGGGGGGAAAGCTGCAGTCAAGACTTTAGAGACTTAGAGCTCACATTTCCCATTAACCTCTTTTTTTATTCACCCATAACTCTGCCCATCTATGGCCGGTCTGAGACTCCTCTGCCACAGCTGTAGCAGAGCAGCCATTTGTGACTGCTTTCTTTCCATAAAAAGAGCTCCTGGATGTCTGGGCATCATTTCCTGTTTGATTTCAATATGACAGAGCAGTTGGGTAAACAGACTTTGGATTTCTGTGAATCCTTTGTACAGCTGAGCAAGCAGTGTTTGAGCCGTGACTGTCAAAACAATGTTTCATTGTGGAAAGAAAAATACCATTTTCAGTTTGGACATGCATCGATGTTAACCTCAATTCTCTCACTATAAAAACCCAGGTATGGCGCACGCACAGTATGTAACTCATTTCTGTTGTGGGGGATGTTCTTGAGCATTAAGGACAGATTTGTTCCTCAGAGAGCAGAGGAGTTGTCCTGATTAATCACACCCACACTGTCCGGCTATCTGGATGAGACTTTCTCAAGGTGACCTGTGGTACGGCGTATAAGGGGGGGGGGAGTCTAGGAAAGCATTGGCAGCGAAAGATTTCCCAACATTGTAGCCAGCAGTACATTTGAATATGTGTGTCAATATTGTCACTGTCATTGGAGACAGCATGTCGGCCATGTTTAGTCACTGAATGTGGTTCACTAGCAGATCAGAATAAAATGGTTTATTCACGGACAAAAGCATGCAAATATGATGCCTTTTACAAATGCTTGATTTGAACTGACTGAAGAGGTAAAATCTCCAGCAACACTTAGAAAACACATTTATTGTCAGACCTTGTTGAGTTCCCGAAATATTTGACATCATCATGCCTTCTTTCTAACCATCTCCCTCGACATTGGAAGTAGGGGAGTTGTGCCATAATATATGTACCCTTTTAATATGACTAACAGTCTAAATCCCATAGGATTAGTAGAGTTTACACTAACATTGTGAAACCACCACAATATTTGCCCTTTCCTTGAGAAAAAATAGTTTGCCAGTAATTTGCTGTTGGTCAACTAATCCGTTAATCGAGTTATCGTTTTGCCTCTATTCCAGAATAATGGAAGGCACCGTTTCTGTAACAAAGAGTCGAACTAGAGACACATACCCCCAGAGCCTAACTTGACTCACAAGTTGCTCAGAGGTGGTCCAGTTCTGTTGCTACAGGTGTGGGCTAATATTTCAAAAAATATAAATGGCTCAAATCTCCAAATGGAGAAGAGAGTCAGAGCCTTTGTTTTATCTAGGTCAAATACAATTGCATTTGGATTGGATCTAATTAACTCTGCCTAGAGGGTTACAGTATGATTACCGCTTATTTTTTATTGGTCTGTTTGTTAGCAGGATTAGGCCAGGTTTTTATTAAACATTTTTGAAAGGGTGTAGTAGGGGCCAAGGAAGAACCCATTACATTTGGGAGCGGATCCAAAACATGGGGCAGATATACACATCATTTTTTAAAAAGCCCTTGATGGAGGTCTTAGTCACTGAGTGCTAGGGATGTTTCTGACTTTCCATTGGCTTCATGTAGATGTTTTTATTTTTCCAGATCAGATCCAAAATGATGGATCTTCTCCACCGATGGCCCTAATGTAAAAAAAACGATAGGCCTCTGTTGCATTGTTGTGGTGACATAAATGTCTAGTAAAGATATTTAAAAAATGCATTGTTTGATATCAGTGTTAATTAACCTGTTTTGTTATTTGGTTAAATAGTTCTTACAGGTAAAAAATGTCTGTTGCATGTAATTTATTTACAAAGGTTTAAAGAGTTTGCAACAGCCATTACATGTTACTGTGCAACAACTCTCTCACATGGTCTTTTAAAAGACTAAAGGAATACAAAAGTATAAATAAAATGATCTGAGTTTGCACATTACTACCACTTTAAGTTACACAAGAATGAGAAGAGGGTGGGAGGAGAGCTTAGGAGAGAGGATGAAGCTGTTCCGTAGGGTGTAGCTAGATAAGCTTTTAAAGCCATTTCATGTGACAGATTGAGATGTGCACAGTGCCCATCAAACGGTATACAATCTGTAACAATCCAGTCTTTTTGTCTTACAAGAGACAGTGACAATGACTCTAATGGTTTGTGGCAATTCCACATCCAAATGACAAACAGAGTACAGCAGAATCTCTCAGATTTCAACATGACATTCTATGCTTTGACATTTACTGACCGGGCAATCCGTTGATCAGTGGGGGCCTCTCGTCATCATCTTCCTCCTCGGGGACCGCGCTGTCCTTCCTGTCCATCTTGCTGACAGAGGTGGTTCGTTTCCTCGGGAGATCACCGCCGTAGTCTTCATCAAACAGCACCTGATCCACCAGGTCAGGCTGCACCAGGTTAGGCTCCGCCGGAGGCTTCGGGGTTCCATAATAATTACCTTAAAGAGTGAAAGATGGGGATGGGCAGAGGGAGAAGAATTATATATAAAAAATAATGCAACCAAACAGATAAGGAGCAAAAGGAAAGGCAGCTAGAGCACAGATTGGCAACATTATTCTCTATAGGTTTATATTTGTATTTTGTGCTCTACTGTGACATCTTTATTTTTCTCATACTGCCTGTGCTGCATCACCTCTTTTCACCCTCTGTCTGAAGGCAGAGCCCAGTCTGCTCTGAATGGTTAGCTGGCTGGATGTGTTGTGATTGGTCAACCGCTTAGAGAGTTTCCGAAAATCTCCCACTCCTTAGCCTATCATGTACAATGTGCTGGAGTGTTACACAGGGATTTCACTACCTTACAGAAACAAACAAAGGAGTCCAATCGAGGCTTTTCAGGCGGGGAGAGAAACTCCCTATGGCAGGAACTTTGAGATGTTAGCCTTTGCAGACCATTTGCATGCACAAAAACCTATACAACACACTACAGGAGGGGAATACTCCAAAAAAGCATAATACGGAGGGAAAGTAAAGATGGAAGGAGCAGAGAGAGGAAGAGAAGAAGGGAATACATTAATAATGTAACCATATAGATAATGAGCCACAGGAAAGGCAATAGAGTGCAGACCAACATAATGGCTGCAAAGTTGACTTCTCAATGAAATCATCGACAGAAAGATAATAAGCAACTATTTTGAAAACGATTAATCATCATGTTGTAATGTAAAGAAGGCAAATAAACAAATATGTGTGGCCCCTCAAAAATCGAAATGTTCTACTATCATGCACAGTAGTGCTATTAACTGTACGCTACACCTATGTTTGTTAAGTAAGAGAATGAGACTCAAACAGAGATATCGTGTACCATGCCTAACATTACTGCAATTCACCCGATTTAAATCTGGTTCAATTCTCTAAATGTCACACAACAACGCTGAAGGTCGAATATTCACAAGTTCCAGAGGTCTGCTCGCTCTGCATGATTTTCACGTCTCTTAACCCCCTGCATTGTTTTCCCTCGATAACTGCACCGCAGGGCGGTCATGACTCATGTAACATTAACATCAGTTCACTTGGAATTTGCAAGCAACTAATTACACTGATCATTGAATACAGCAATTATCTATCTCTTAGCTTGCTTTTTTTAAATGAAGAGAAACCTTGTGTTACAGATTATGAATATTCAGTGGGCTAGCAGGGCTCCGTGAAGAGAGGGGATAGAGAGCAAAACTCAGTTAAATTATTTGCTAATTTAGCTCATGGGGCGATCCATCTATGTATGGCTGGTGAGCAGTATGTGGAACTCAATTCAGGCGTAGAAGAAGTCATTATTCAAACTCCATTAGGATTATAAATAATGTGCATACTCATTTATATCCCAACCATTTATAATGGTTATTTGTTTGCTAAATGCTGCTCTGTCAGATGTGTTTACGCAGTAATATCACATACGTTTTCTGCATATCCATTTGTCATGTCAAATATTTATTCGGTTCTTACAATAAGTGATCACCAGATTGAGTCTGCGATTTATAATCAGATTAATTAAAGAATAGGGGGGCATACCGCTGCGACATTTTCTGCAATTTAATTAGCCTCCATAAACTTTATCTTATTTTCATTTGGACGTGGTATTATGCTGGCATCACAAATACTGTGCTGTAGGAGCAACATTTATCAACTGCAGATCTTTTTATAGCTCGGTACAAAGAGGGGAAGCTGACAACAGTGTGCATGCTAAGAAGAACAGAGGACTCTGAGGAGCACATCACAGTCATTTTAGCAGCTTTACAGCACGACACAGCAACGCCACAACAGCCTTTTTGATAAGTGAGCCCATCTCCAGCATAGGGCCTCATCTCCTCGGGCGTGCCAGATACAATACCCAGCAACTGGGTTAGCAGTGGGAAGGTTGAGGAGGAGAAGGAGGCTGGATGAAAGCCTGCTCCTCCCACCTCGTCGCTCGACTTTCGGTGTTTACTAAGCGACACTCATCCCCATTTGTCAAAGATGGCTTCATTAACAGGGGTGGCGCCACGATAGCGGGGTGAGATTGGGTCTGCTGGCTAATCCCCGCCTGTCTCCTGCCGCACGCTGACATTCATCTGCCAGACGCTACGTGCGTGATTAATTACTTACAAACATGTCTCTTGGACTCTGACAAATGTGTGTTGCTGATATAGAGGTGTGCAAAAGCAGCGTGTCGGCGAGGATTTGTGGCACCATTTGCCTTTATAAATGGAGGGAAGCCTCATAAACTGATGAGCAGGGGAGCTTGTCCGACGTTACTTGTGATCCTCGTGTCACCGGGGTTGATGAGCCAGGAAGAGCGAGCCTCCGCTGTCAAAGTACGTGAGAGCAATTTCATGGTGGTGGAATCAGCAGCCGGTAATGAAAAGGCTCCTGTTGTCAAGGGCAATATGCATAAACTACAAGGTCATGAGCACACGTTAATCTTACCGAGATCACTAACAGACAGCCACACACACACTCCTAATGCGTGAGTGCTGCACTCCCATCGCACATCCAATTTAATCTGCAAGTCTGTTTCCCTTCCTTGTTAAAATCGCACCCATTACCACAATGGGGATCCTAAAACAACAGATTTGACATGGATCTCAATTTGGCAGAATTTTGGCTTCCCTAATAGCAGATAAGAGAGAAAAAAACCCTCTATGGGTAGAATTTCATTTTTCTTGGCAGCTGTCCCTCCAGTCTTGCACTTCACTGCACTGGACTATTTAGTTCATGTCTGGCTGAGAGAGTGACCCAACCTGAACCTTATAGAGACTAAGCGGGGACCAAAGGCCCAGAAAAGACTCACTCTCAGTGCTTGGCGCAGATGGCGGATGTGTCTGCTTGGCAGGCAACCTGAGACCCTCCGGACCAACATGGAGCAGCCAGCATGTACCCCTACCAATCATAGAGCAGCCAGGACCCTCATAAATAGACTAACCCTGGGTAGTGTGCTGTGTCCTGACCCCTCAGCTGCCTTGTTGTGAGGATGTGGGGCATTAACATGGTCATGGATGGCAGGATGATTGAGTCAGGAGAGGGTGTTAAACATTAGGTATAAATGCGTTTAATGCCTCCTATGAAATATTTTCTAGGTGGAGAAAAAGCGGTATACATGAACCATTAACGTAATGAGCATCCCGGCAAGTCATTTGGGACTATTGGCGAGAACATTATGATTAGCTGAAGAATCCCATTAGCTCTGTACTTTGAGTACAGCTCACTCACTGTTGGTTAAACTAAAAGGTAATTCAACCACTCTCGCGACCTATACAAGAGGATGTTTGACCTTGTTTATTTTCCTCTTTCAAAGAAAGAGCAAGGCTGCGCTTCAACCGCAAACAAATGGAGTAAATGCCATTCCTCGATCCAATTACTTTCAGCTCCTCTTTGAGTCTACTGTGCTGCTGGGAGATCAGCGCTCTCTGCCACAGAGGCCATGCTTTTGATGACTGGGTTTTAGAGCAAAAGAAGAAGAAGAGGAGGGGGGAAGGTGGCAGTCACTATCAGAGTGTTCAGTGCTTTCTCAGGGATAGTATGCTCAAACTGTCCAACTTCTGAGAAGCTAATCCTCACATCTGAACGCAGCCCAGCTTCCACTGCAGAAGGGGGGTTCTCCTGGAAGCTGAGGGCTAAGCATGCTTCTATGTCCACTCTCTCCCTCTCACGTTTGCACTCTTCTTCAGTTTGCTCTCCATTTCTCCCTCTCTGCACCTGGCTGCAGTAAACATGTCAGTGACCGTGGTCAACCTCAATATGGAGGTGTAAATCCCTCCTGGCCTTGGCTCACAGATGACGGACAGCTCGCGGGCCTGAAACGTGATCTTAGATGATCTATCTCGACACAAGGACGGGATTTGTGTGTGTGTGCGTTTAATGTATTTTCTGCCACTGTGCTACAAGGACAAGAGGTGGGAGGAGGGACTGAAACCTAATCACAGGGATCAGAGCCCGTTGGAAGGATCATCACAGGAAGGCACTTAACCAATCGTAAGAGCACACTCACAAACTTTACTTGCACAGCCTAGAAGAAGCTACTCTCAGACTTAAGGAGCTTTCTCACTGAATGAGGATTTTACTTTATCTTTTAAATTCTTCATCCTACAGGAAGCACGAGATGCAGCTGAATGGGAGCGAGTGAATGGCGCAGAGAAGGTCCATTCACACGACCAGAGGTTGCCTCTAAAGTAAAATCCCTTCCATTTAACAGCAGCCCGGATTTACAGTAAGAAAGAATGAGCTTAAAGAGAGGGGGAGATTACCATGTTATTGCTATAATCATTGCGCAATGTGAGAGAAATCCCCCTTCCCAATCCCCTCATGACATAAATACACTGCAACAGTCTGACTTTCCAAGACCTTTCAATGCAAGTGCTTATGCTCCATTGTAGTACGAGGTGTTATAAATGGTAAATACTTTGCTATTCGGCAGTTCGCTAAGCTGAAATGTCCCTCCTTGTGTAAACTTCTTACTGCAAGGAACATGACTGGGCTTGTCTTGCTGTAAAATATCCGTTGCCACTGACATGTTTACTGCAGCCAGGTGCAGGGGAACTCAAAAGAGCTCTAAAAAAATCAAATGCAATAGTTTTCTTTAAATGAGCCAAAGCTTACTGAATGTGTCTGTGAGAGGAGATGAGGAAGAAGGAGGAGGAGGAGGAGGTTGGTTTTATTGGACTGGTTTATAGAATAATAAGGTCATGATGAGGTGCTAAAGCTGATCGCATGTTCAGACTATTACAGTACGTCCACACAGCAGCTTTAAACAAATCTTCCAACGCTTCTCTGCCCATTGACTTTGAATGGGGATGACGTCACTTTGCCTCGCTTTTCGCCGAACTGCATTGTGGGGGAGCGAAGCGAAGATTTCCAGGATTTTCAGGATTTTCAGGATTTTCAGGATTTAAAAGTTGAGCAATGTTCAACTTTTGAAGCTGAGCTGGAAGCGTCAGCCAATCAAATCCCGTTTATGCAAATCTGACAGTAGAAGCGCTAGCCAATCAAACCGCGTGTAAGCAGGGAGAGCCAGACCGCAGTTCATTTCCTCATATTCCAAACGAGAAATTACGGTAGCAAATCACCCGGTTCTTTACGACCAGAACTATTAACGGGATACAAACCGGAGGAACCAGGCATGGAGGGAGGTGCCAGAGACAGTGGGTAAAACTGGTAGGTTTTCGCCTGTTTGGGGAGTTTATATATATATATATTGCTCGCATAAAATCCCCGGGGTTTTTTGCTTTGTATGTCGGGGGCGGGAGATTCATGTGATTGGTTGTTGGTCGCGTTGCTCGCAAAAAATCCCCAAACTTTCAGACACGCCCAGCTCCAAGATTTTCAAGATTTTTGAAAAGCTGCTGTGTGGACGTACCGTTATGTGAATATATACTGTATATTGTCAAGAACAGACAAAGACATGCTGACACAAGAAACACAGAGAAGCAAGTCATATATCCGACACATGCTGTTTTTTTAGGTATTATATTTGTATTTTCTGCCTCTGCTATGACATGTTTCCATGCTTTAATGTGCAAATAGTGCATAATGTTTTCTCATACAGTGCTGCAGCACTTCTTTCCACCCTCTGTCTGAAACCAGAGCTAATTCTTCCGGTTGGTTAGCAGGCCGGCTCTGTTGATATTGGTCAAATGCTTAAAGATGTCCTGCCCCTTGGCCTACCACGTACAATAGAATAGAATAGAATTGAGAGGGATGAAACCCTCTTTAATGGTCACACATGCAGAGCACACAGCACACAGTGACATTTGGCCTCTGCTTTTAACCCATCCTAGTACCAGGAGTCTAGTACTAGGAGCAGTGGGCAGCTATTGTACAGCGCCCGGGGAGCAATGTGTTGGAGCGCTAACCAATATAATTGGGAATGTTACATAGTGATGTCATTATGTTATGTAAACTAAAAAGGGAAAGGTTGAGGGAGATAAACTTCCTCTGGATTGTATCCTTTGCAGACCATGTCCATCCACAAACAACTATATAAGTTATAACACATTACTACAGGAAAGGGAAAACAACAAAAAGCATAATAGGTCCCCTTTGCAAAAAAAGGCTAAACAAATGTGTATATTTGTATAAAATGTAATAAATGTAGCTTGAAAAGTAATACAACAAGTGGAGTCCGTTTTTCGTTTCAATTACATTAATTAAATTAAGAAACCTTCATATGCATACCATATCTGTCATTACCCTCTGGTTATATCTGGTTCCAAAAGGCCGTCTGACAAAACCTTTTCTCTTCTAAGATTTATTTTAATCCTGACAAAAAAAGTTACACCCTTGTCCTGATTTCTACAGTTTTCCCATTTCTATTTAAATATAAAGTCTGCATACTACAGTGGCCCCATTTTATTCAAAGTGTTGAGTTACAGAACACAGTTCACCTGAAGGGCTGTGAATATCGCCGCTAATCTGACTGTCACTTCTAACAAGTCTTTAATCATGTTTCACTGATCAATACATTTCGTCCCGCTTGTCACATTTCACTAAGGCAGCCTGTAAGTCATAATGACCGTGAATATCGAGCGTACACTCACTCCATTATAGGGATCTGTCACCGTGAATCGTGTTCACGGGTGCATGCAGGTTTCTCATATTCTCATGACACTGTGGCGATACCTACCATCATAGGTCCCACTCTCCAGTAGAAGTCCACTTTCCTCCAGGATCCTGAAGTCTCCGCAGCTGATAAAGTTGTAGTCCACTCCTGGCACCTCTCCATCTCGAGGAAGCCGCGTGGTGCCTGGAAAAAAAGAGAAATACATCAAACTAACATGTTTTAGGTAATAGACCTGTGCTTCGAGCTGATGACGTCACCTCATGCAATAACCTGAAAGGACAATGGTTTTGTATTTTTGCTTTTGTTGTGCAACACCCTTGAAAGTGAGCTGAGAAGTGACTTGGAGCTCATCCAGCTCCAAGTCTTTTGAAACAAATTATTCCTGTCTTCCATCATAGCAACAAGATGTGTATGTGTCTCAAGTGCTGGTTAAACTCTAACATAAAAAGTTTTACTTACACAGAAAATCTTCCACTGACAACATCTCACGATTCATGAGATACAAAGGATACAGACTTTAGCATTTCCTTGTGTGATTTGTACAAGGCTGCAGCACATTTTAAAAACGAAAAACCCGAAACCTTGGGGTCTTCCTGTGAAAGATGGATAATTGATGAGGGCCTGTGGTATTCACTTAATCCTCTATGAGTAGTAGAGAAGTTATCATTAGGAGGTTACTGATAGGCATTAGCTACAGCAGAAATGAAGAAGGATGCATATCCATAATGTTTGGCTTCAACTTTAGCAGAGAAGGTTTTTATTTATTCAACACAAATCTGAGAGAAGCTTCAACTGACAGCATTTCACGACTCATGAGGTACAGAGGATGTCAACTTTAGTAGTTGTTTAGGTACCCATATAATACAAGGCTGCAGCACATTTGTATTTTTTTTTAGCAAAAACACAAGAAGACCTCGGTGCCATCTTGTGAAATATAAATAATTGATGAGGGCCGTGGGTTTTCATTTAAAGGGGCCCTATTATTCTTTTGGGGGTTTTCCCTTTCCTGTAGTGTGTTGTATAGGTTTTGGTGCATGTCTGGCTAAAATCCCAAAGTTTATCTCGAGAGGGAGTTTTCTCCAACACACTCCCCCCCTACCTGCAACTCCTTTGTTTACTTCCTTAACATAGTGACATCACTATGTAACACTCGTGCTTCTTTTGGACTCCAACACACATTGTACGTAATAGGATAAGGGGCGGGACATCTCTAAACAATCAGAGCAGATTGGGAACTGGTTTCAGACAGAGGGTGAAAAGAGGTGCTGCAGCACAGGCAGTATGAGAAAAATAAAGAGCTTTTTGAACATTAAATTGTACACATGTCAAAGATCAGGCACAAAATACAAATATGAACCTGAGCATTTACATAATAGGGCCCCTTTAATCTTTTATGAGTAGTAGAGAAGTTATTATTAGGAGGTTCTTCATGTATGGACCAGCTACAGCTGCAATAAAGAAAGCAGCCACGTAAATATTGGATGTGAAATATGATGGAAACAATATGTGGTGTAACCTCCTTCAGTTGTTGAGGTAGAGATGTTCCTCCTGTGGAGAAGCTACAGTCTATTTCAATAGTGATGGGAGGTTTTTGTTCCTTGCAGGAAAAATAGCCACAAGGCAAAAATGGACACCAAATGAATGCATTAGCATATGGATTACGTAAATCATATTCATGAATATATAAGCAGGACTGTGTTACTATTGGACTCAAGGGTAATTAGGTGGCATGTCACCAAACTTGTAGAGTCTATAGAAAAAGCCCCAGCTGAACGGGAGGCAGGACAGCAGTTATTTATTGCATGGGAGGCTGAACAAAACATTCAGCATGAACCAATCATCAGTGCTACATTCCATGGCAATCTCTGTCACCCTATATTTACTGTTGCCCATGGTTATGGAACAGATTTGTTCATTGCCTCGGCCTGGTGAATCCTTTTCAGGGTCACAGAGAGGACAATGGGGTGAGGGTATGGAAAGCTGAGAAACAGCCGTGCGGGCCACCAGTCGATTTTGAAACAACAGGCGATTTAAAAATTCAACTCAACCTGACTCCGTTGTCTGAGGAAATCAGAGCAGGCTGAGGAGCCCTGCAGCGGCGCAGCGAGGAGAGAAGATACAGACTCCACACATAGAAGATTATCAACTGAAGCTAGAAATATATTTCTGGGAAAGGAGATGTTACAGAATCGTAGTTTAATTACTGAACATTCTTTCACAGTATGTATTGTGACCTTCAGCACAACACGGCAACAAACAGCCGCTGTGATTTATGACAGTGCCACAATGAATCTTTAAACAGCGTATTCTTTTACATCCATAATGGGATCTCATTGAAACATGTTGTTGCATCTCCTAAGTAGATTCCTTGACACTTGTAGGGTCTGCAGCAATTAACAGTGGAGCCTCTGTGCAGATTGTGTAACTTTATACTGCCGTCCCTCTTTTGTTTTACCGCTCTTGCGTGTTCTTGCTAATTGGACTGTGACAGCTTCTCTGAAACCATGCAGAAGAGCAAAAGCACAGCTTGGAAAAGAAAATATCAGAGAAGCTTCCTTCAACAGCACCTTGATGCCACCCTTTGTGTTACCAAAGGCAGATGACATTGCATCGCATGTAAGAATGCCGGCCTCTGCTGCTTCTCATTACCAATTTATTTGCCAGCCCGCACTGGCTTTGGTCACTCAAAAGGGTCCCCTGTAGCCCAATTACTTGAGCCACAGTTATGTACCGGCCAAGCAGATTCCCGAGCCATCACCCGGGATGTCATACCGATATAGACCGTACTTCTATCGGGGATCAGTCGATGACAATATAATGAGGGCTGCCGGAGCTTTGAGGTTACATCCGACAAAGTCTTTCTCGCAGAACTTTGTAACTTCCTGTCGTACTTTTCCTTCTCAACGCAGGCGTCGACACTTTGGATATGCCTCCAATTATCTGTCGGAGGCTGCATAGTCGTTCAAACAAAATGCTCGTTGAACACTGGAAATGGTGCAGTTGAAACGCTGCAGTTAATTAAACTCGACAAGAGAAGGGTGCAGAAATAGAGAGGCTCTATCAGAGAAAACTAAGACTTTCTGTCAGAATATGTTGTGCAGTGCTGGGAGAGGAGGCCATTTAGAGAATTAGGAGTATTAAACATTTTGGGAAACACACCTAATCTATTTCTTGCCGAGAGTTATATCAGAGGATTGATACCATTGTCATGTCTGAATATTAAATATAGCTACAGTTAGCATCTGGTGTTCTTCTTAGCTCAGCATAAACACAGGAAACAGGAAAAGCTGCACCTTTTGAGATAACAAATGAACACCTTATACACCTTTTCTGTTTAATCTGTGCAAAAACCAAAAATAAAGTTTATAAAAGACAATTTAGAGTTTCCGTTGGTTGCCTGGCAATTAAACAATGACAACAAGGCTACAGCAAATAACTTTGTGTTTTGTTGAAAACAGTCATATAACCCTATGTATGAACCAAACGTGTCCTTTTTACGTCAGTTTTTGTACAGCTGAGATATAATGTGGATGTTGACAGGAATCTTACCTTTGTAATATTGGACCTGATAATGGACATGAAACTGTTACAGTATACAGTACAACTGATATAAGTTGTTGTATTTGTGTGTATTTAATTACACTGTCATTTTCTGATATGTTCATGTGCAATGTCAACTGTAATGTTTAGTAGTTAAAGTTACATTTACGAGGAGTAAAGCTTAAGCAGGCACAGATGGCAGCTCAGGGGTCCTTGAGCTGAAAAGCAATATCTATATGTTAGCAATAATCTTATGATGAGCTGTATAAATGTATTGACAATAATGTATAGTGTGTGTGAAACTGTAACAAACTAGCAGTAATGCTTATAATATATATCATATTTTATGGTTTACAAGTTTAATGTCGAGCGTGTCTAGTAAAACCTGCGTCACCTGCTAGCTTTAATGGACTACTGTCACTAAATAGTGAGTTGTGTGTGTGTGTGCTGAATAGTTTCAGTGTGTTTAGCGGGTTCATGAGACTTATAATATTTTATGTATAATGTAAGTTTGCAGACTAGTGCAGTGTTATGCTTGTGCTAATAAGGATTATAAATGTGCAACACCAGGTTTTATGCTACGCTAACTTGCGTAGCATATTATTGCTATATTATATACCATATTATTGATATTGCTTTGAATTAACCAAACAGATATAGGAGTGGTATTGATACCCTCATGTAAATCTTGGAAAGAAAACATACATTTCCCAAAAGGAATAAACTATTCCTTTAATTTCATGTCCATGAACAGTGCTCACAGCCATGTGTTTACACATGTCAGTGTGTGTGTGTCTGTCTATCCGAGAGTGAAACAGATTGTCACTTAAGTCGTGCAAGGTCTCGCGGCTGTGGGCTGCCTGAGACCTATTTTTCAAACCGTCTGGACTGAGAAGATGTCAACACTTAAACATAAACGTCAGAAATGGCAGGCCATACATTTAACATGGTGATTTCATGCATAGTTTTATGTTGGTTCTTCAACAAAAAAAAGAGGGCTTAGGGCTTTGCTGCTGAAAGAGCAAGAAAGAGAGAGGAAGGAAGAGAATAAAGCGGATCATTACAAAGCCTAGGCCTTTTGTGAAGTGTTCAGTTTTAAGACACTGAGGCAAGCCCTGCCATATGGCTTACTCTACTATTGTCACGTTATAACAGAGCTAGCTATTACCTTTTAACAAGAAATACAAAACTACTTACACATCAACCTGCTACCATTATTCTTTAATCCTAAAATAAAATTGAAGAGAGAAGAAGGAGCATTCTCTCCTAAAATGGTTACAACGCAGCATGCAGAAGGGCGAGTTAAAAGTAAGGTTTGTGTGAGATCAAACTCTTTCTTCCCATCTTTAATATCAGTGGGGACGAGTCAAGGGAATGTGTGTGACCCTGAGCTTTCTGTTCTTATAGAAAATCCTCCCACTTTTGTCCTCTCCACAGCTCCCTCAGCTTTTCCGTAAGAGTCCAATGAGACCCAAGACCCAGTGAAGGAGACTGGGGGATTTAGCACACACTGACTCTGCAGAGCTGGATCTCTTTGTCCCTCTGCTCCTCACTTTTCTCTCCTAACCCTCCGTCACAGACCACACTCAATGCCTGTCTTTCTCTGTTTCATTTGAATTTCTACATACATTTTCAAAACCTGCCAAAAATAGAATATGAGAAATGACCCTGTGTTGTGGATTGGACGCACAAACAAGACAGCACAGATGAGCTGCAGTTGTATGAGAGTACAGCAGTGTGGTTGGTAGCTAAGTGAAGTGGTCCATTGGCACAGTGACACAAACCGCCTCTGCTAATCCTGATGCTGTCTGCCTGACTGTCACACACATTTTAGGTATAAATCCACCCTTGAATATGCTCATTATTTTCAATTTGTGATGTTCGACACATTGAAACAATTGTTTTGTGTGTTAAATTGCAACTTGATGGTGCGCCACTACTCCCTCAACCTGCCTTATATTATTCTACCCAGAGTATTGATTTCCCACAAAGGAAAAATTATTTCTCAAGCTTCAGTGCCAAAAAGATGAGGAGCCAAACATGTAAAGCACGTTTAGAGGTTGAATCTCTGAAAGCAAAAATAGCTGCAGTGAGAGCAGGAGAGTGAGTTTTGGGAGTTGAGCAAAAACAGCAGACAAGCTTCAACATGCAGCTTGTCTTGTGGCTGCATTGCACTGTGGTTCATTTTTGTTTGGACAGTTATCTTTAGGAATAGAAAAGAATACCTAAAATGCATGAAGAGATTAGTATTGTCTGATAATTACATTGCACTTTTTAGAGGAAATGTGCATACTGTGTTAATGGTATAAGATTAGATACACTTTAAAATCCCACCTTGGGGTTTTATTTGTCACAGCATTAACATTACAGTATGTTAAAAAAACTAAAACAAATAGAAACAATTTGAATACAATTACATGTTCATTTACTATCAACAAAATTACATATTGAGAATACGAATTATAAAGAATGAGTTAAAATACTCCATAAAAAAAAATAACAGAAAAATCTACCAATACAAAAACAAATATATAGAGAGAAGAGATAGAATTAGAATTTAAATACAATTATTGGAAAGGCCTAAACTGCTTTAAGTGAAGTGAAATCTATATATGGACCTTTTTGATGAACCCGATAACATGATTTCATAAGTAGTAACCTTTTAGCGTAGATTTTTTCTTATTATTTTATTTGGATTTTTCCTTTTCTAAATGTTATTTTTGTATTCTATTTCTATTCTTGACATGTAACCTGGATCGACCTTGAAAATATGAAGAAAGCCTAAATAAAGTAAAACAAAAAACAAGCATAGCAAGTAAAAAAATAAGCAGGCAATAGTAATTGGTACAGAGGAAGAGTGCAAGTGAAACAGAGCGGGTGAATGATGGGAGGCTGAGAGCGAGAGGGTGAATGATGGAGGTGCCGTCTCTGTGCGAGTCCTGCTCTCTCACTCATTAAGACAGTAATTCAACCCCGGGATTAGAGAGTCACACTCATGCAGCGAACCCAACGGCTGCGGATGATGAATGGTGTTTGCGGGCCGTAAAACCTCAACGACCGATACTATTGTACATAAAAACTAGAGTTAAAGTTTCGCGTTGTATGCCTCCGCCAGCCCAAAGTTGTAGTTTACATCCATGTCGGTCCTAACTCGTATAATATTTCTACTGAAGACTTTTAGGGAATACAATAAAGTTTATTTAGTGTGTTTTTTGGCCAGAGTTATCACTATATTGACATGATGTATGCACAATCTCTCTTCACCTATAAACTTGTTATTTTTAAGAGGACATATTCTGCTCATTTTCAGGTTCACATGTTTCTTTTGTGCCTCTACTGTGAGATGTTTAAATGCTTAAGTATTCATAAAACGTCTTTTCACCCTCTGTCTGAAACCAGAGCCCAGTCTGCTCTTATTGGTTAGCTGGCCGGCTCTGTTGTGATTGTTCAACCAAAGTGCAATTTGAGCACTAACCAATAAAAGCGCAAATCCTACATAGTGATGTCATTATGATAAGGAAGTAAACCAAGACAGGCCAATGGAGGCGTTTCAGGCAGGGGGGGGGGGGGGGGGGGGAGTGTGTGGGAGGGGAACTCCCTCTGGAGGGAACTTTAGGATTTTAGCCTTTGGAGACCATTTGCATGCACTAAAACCTGTATAACACAGAACAGGAAAGGGAAAACCCCAAAAAGCATAACGGGGCCCCTTTAACAGAGGACTAAGATTCGTCACAAAGTGCTCACCTGAAGCTCAATATATTCAAAAACCATTAACCTCCTCGTATGTGTTCACATTGGCAAATAAAGATGATTGTGATACATAACCAAGCTGTCACCGCAACAGTTGAAAAGGCTTCACATGTTGCTGAAAATAAGCTACACGTTCTAAGTGTGGGTGCTTAACACCCAATGTCAACAGGCTGCTCAGAAGATACACAATCCCCACTTTAAAAAGGTGTGCACTCATGAGTGTCATCAATTCAATATCTGACCAAAGTGTGTAATAAAGTAACAATCATCCATTCTTTTACGGAGGTATGCCTTTGACTTATGGTCAGAAAATAGCTTTTGCGTAATATTTTGTTGTCACAGTGAAGTTCACCTTTGTATATATTATGTCAGCACTTCATCCTTCTTTTCACAGAAGACATTTGTACAAAATGTTGTATTATTAGCATATGAACTTTAGAGTTATGGCCAACAACGTGTTTTGTGAGGTGACAGTGACCTTGACGATCTAATTGTTATAATTCCTAAGAGTCCAAGTGGACGTTCGTGCCACATTTAAAACAAATCCTTCAATACGCTCCTGAGACATACTGTTTACAGGAGTGGGCTGGAAGGATAAAGGGACCACCTGAAAACATAACTCCCCCTTTAAAAGAGAAAGCCATGTTTGGGGTCAAGATCACGGAGTGTGTTTAGGTGAATGTATGTGATCATTCCTGCACTTAACTTGCACTATTGTGTCACAATTACTATTATACTTCCTTAAGGGTTTCCATTGCAAACAACTAAAGTGTAGCTATTGTGCATCTCAAATCTTTAGCAAAAAGCATCACAAGAAGGTGTGTGTGTGTGTGTGTGTGTGTGTGTGTGTGTGTGTGTGTGTGTGTGTGTGTGTGTGTGTGTGTGTGTGTGTGTGTGTGTGTGTGTGTGTGTGTGTGTGTGTGTGGAGAAAAGAAGCCCGCAAGACGGACTTAGTTGTCATTGGGAGATAAATCACTAATGAGTTCTGTAAAGCTCTATAATCATCTTTTGTCCATCCACTATAACTGACCTGAGGTACTCCCAGTGCAACAGAGCTTGAAAAGAACATTTCAATTACAAATCACGTTGAACTCAAGGGCCAAGGAAACAACTATAGCTCAGAACAGGCTGACATGTACAGACAGAGAGTGAAGGAAACAGTAGTGGGGCTAGAGAAGGATATTCCTCCTCTTCTAAAAAGAAATGAAATATACATGAAAGGTAAGCAGCTGACTTCCTTAAAAAATGTCTCACTTGTGAATCCAAGACCTTTCTGAACAAGACAAACAACAACTTCCAGCCTTTGGGGAGTTGAGAGCAGAGACGCTGCTTGTTTGTGACAGGTCTGTGCCTGAGAGTCTGTCATCGCCTGAGGAGCAGTCGCTCTGCATGTGACTAAAACCTTGAATACAATTATGGTGCTCCTCTGAGCAGAGTCACTCCTCAACAGGACGTGGGAAATATTGAGGCCAAAAACTGTCTGTGTGAACATCATCCCAGGATTACAGATACTGCGTCATACTCTAGTCTCCTGTTAATGCAATTTTACTTCCAAACGTCATCTGGTGCTTTACAAAAGCTGCGTAATGTCTCTTTAAACATCAGAAGAAACATGAGAAGAGACGTCTTAATTCAGTTAGTCGCTCAGCCCCTTATGATAAATGGAATATGAATTACCTAGCCTTTTTCGAGATGATAATCATCTTTGCTGCTACTGTAATTTACACTCCATTCATACACAGACAGATGCTGATTACTTGGGGGGGGGAGAGTCTCTCCAAGGAAATGTAATTGCAAACGGCAAATAACCTGAATTCCTGCAACCCACAGAAACCTAAATCAGGATATTAATTTACCACTTATAGCCGTGTCACTCTAATTTTGGTAATTTTCATGCTTTCCTTTAAAAGATTACAATACTCAAGCTCATGAAAGCCAGGAAATACGGGCGTGAAAAGTGAAGGAAAGATATTAAACGGATAAAGGTTGTTTTGTTTTGTAAAAGCACCACTTATCAGCTCCAAATATATTTTTTGCAGCAATTATACAGACTCTTAGATCAACAGCTGCTTTGCAAAACAACATCAAATACCACATGTTTTTATATTTCAATCAGATTAAAGTTCCCTTATTATTCAGAAAAAAAATTATTCAGAAAACGCATACAGCTGCTGTTCCTTGCAGTTGTTCTTTGCAGTCCGCAGTACCAACCTCTTTATTTAACAGTCCATTAGTGATTACAGCACAGAATAATAGTTGGTGATGGCCCCACTGAGCAGAAAGTCAGCGAGGGGAAGCAGAGCACCGCGGGGGAAAGAGTTATTTATGGAAATAATGTGGCTTTGATCACTCGTGGTGATACGGCTCGGAAGTAAATAAGTTACATTGGGGTTAGAGAAATGTCCTTGGTGGGGTTGCTATGGTGACATCGAAATGTGTGTGTGACAGAGAGCTGTTAGAGGATGATGCGTGAGAGCCTTAAGAATGTGCGTGTATACAGTCCTGTGTAGTGTAACATAAAAGAGAAAACGCTGCATCAAGTGGGTTGGATCGGCATGCTGAACATCCTCATTGTTCCCATAAGATGCTTGAAATCAAAACACATATGCACTGAAAGTAGGTTATACTGCGCACTCTTGGCTTGCTTTGTGCTCGAGGATCTTTTGAGAGCAGTCAATGGGAGCTATGCATTACAGGCCTATATGGAGTACTTACAGGGGATGGTGCGTAGGTAGAGGTTGTCCCGTATGATCTGCTGGAGCTTGTGGTCCATTGAGCCCTTCTGAAACTGCAGACTGAGGTAGTGGCGCAGGTCTGTGTTCAATACTTTACCTGCAGAAACAGAAGCAGAGGAAGAGAGGGTCAATAAAAACATGGCGGTGCTCTCTCCGGAAATCTATCCAAGTGACATGTACCCACACAAAGGGGTCGATGCCACAGAACCAAACTGTTTTTCTACAAAACAGATACGCTTTCATAGATGTTAATTGTCGGGTGTTTTCCTAAGATATTGAGTGCTTCTTATAATAACTATCATTATCATTAAAGTGTCAATCTCAAAGATTGAAGGTAACAATTGTGATTGAGTTTATGATCCACTGATTTAATAATTGCAATAATTATGTGTTTGCAGCACTATAAACTTTGCACACAATTCTGACAAATAGAAGCTTATGTATTAACAACAAGACCCAGATTTTAAAGTCTGCCAGGAGTAAAACATACTTAAAATCTCAGGGATTTAAAGTACCCTTTTATGTTTTGGGGGGATTCCCTTTCCTGTAGTTTGCTATATAGATTTCTGTTCATGTAAATGGTCTGCCAAGACTAAGAGGCGGAACATTTCTAAGCGGCTGACCAATCACAACAAAGCCGTCCAGCTAACCAATCAGAGCAGACTGGGCTCTGGTTTCAGACAGAGGGTAAAAAAAAGAGATGCTGCAGCACAGGCGTATGAGAATGATAAAGAACATTTTAAGCATTAAACCAGGTAAACATGTCACAGTTGAGGCACAAAATACAAATATGAACCTGAAAATGTGCCCCTTTAAGTGCATTTTTACATAATTACCTAATACATAATATATATATTGAGGCAATATTATAGGCAGTGTTAGCAACATTAATATTAAAACATAGAATATAGGCGAATATTAAGTAAATTGAATGGACATTAACAAATGAATGGTTTCATTGGTTTTCATTTCAATAAAGTATCTATCTATCTATTTCACGTCATGTTCTATGACAGTGCAGAGGTCAGTTGAACTGGGTCACAGTTATCCAGTAAAACCATATTAATCTCCATTCTAATGAAAAATGTGATGCTCCGGATGCAGGTGTGTTTTCTCAGATTATGTGACACTCTTAAGCAGGTCAAATACATGAAACCACCTCAAAGCTCTTCAGATCAAATCAAAACGTACAGTTACACAAACATTTTTGGGCAAACAAGGTCTTCACTGATAGTCACAATATTATCCACAGCATTAAACATAAAGTATACTCCTGTATGCACAGTATGTATGACCACCTGTTCTGTCTAGCTGAGGGCTCAAATCCTTGTTGATTCACCTTTTCACTCTAGTTTGATCAATGTGAGGAGATTGTAGTTGAGGGCGAAGGTTAAACAGATTATAAAAATCTGATCTCCTCGGTTAAATCCACTTTATCATTAGGGATATATTAACTTTTGGGATATGAAGGAGGATATTTGGCCTAGAAACAGTTTCAATGTGTTAAGAAAAGGGAGCACATGCTGTACAAGAATTCGGCTAAAAAGCAAACTGGTTAAAAATACCAAGAACAAACTGGACTGGGCTGAATTCATGTCATTACTGCCTCTTTTCTTCTGAACAAGCAAATGTGAAATCCAAAGTGACGGAAGATGGATTTAAACCGCTCCACTCTCTTAACAGTTCCAACAATCTCACACAAGCCTCAAGAACTTTCCACCAAAGATGCTCAATGCCACAACCTCAAAAGTGAGGCGGCGGAGATTTTCATAAGAAAATCTGAAACAATATCGCCTTTGCTCTCAACTCCCAGAAGCCTTTGTAAAAACAAAGCAAGTTCACACAAAGTTTGAGGCAGCTGAAGACTTCAGAGTCGTCATACACAAGCAGGGAAAAAAAGTTTCTCTCTGAAAGAACATGATGAGGAGTTTTGAAAACAGGAAAGAGATCTTCGGTGTCTGCCTGCCCTCAGTTTCAGTCTCATTTTGACAGACGGGGGAGAGTAGGCTTTGAAACAGTTTGACTACAGAGAAGTAATCATCTTTTCCCCTTTTCTCTCCCCTAGTCTCTCTCTTTCCCTCTCGGTTGCACACACAGACCAAACCCTGCTCAGCTCCATTCCTCTCTGCATCGCTATGAATACAAATAAACTGGACTAGAGATGAGATACTGTAGCAATACTGTATGAGCTAATAGAGAGGGGAGTGTACTTCACTACGGAGGGATGATTCAATAATGATGAGCTCTGGGAATAGTTCAGCTACTTTCCTAAATCCTCTTTTCCTGCTCAACTCTTGACAGAAACCAACACGCGCCATTATTGTGACAGCACATACTTGTATTGTGTTTGGTGCACTTAATATCGCTCTCTGTTTTGCAGGATGCTGTTCTCTCACATCAAAATGCACCTCACGTCCACAGGCCTCGCCATCTGACACTGTTTTAGGGACACGCGTCCCGACGGGCCTGGCTTTTCAGAATAAAAGGTTGCTCCATGTTCCGTCCGCCTCTCCAAAGAGGGCTGCATCACAGCTGCTGTAGCAGACAAACAGACTGAGACTAGGGAACCAAAGCCCGAATCTGACAAAAACATCACAAAACTGTCCAAGAATATCCTTTTCTGTTCAAATTCAGCTTGCACACAAGGGAATAAATAGGGGAACATGGCCATCTCACCAAACTACATGTGCTCCATATGCTTTCAGCTAATGATGAATCCTTCAGCGGAGGATTAAAAAAGTTAGTTTCTAAATGAATTGAGGCATATATTCGCTGTCAATACAGTTTGTCAACAGCAAGAGTACGGGAGATAAGTGTACTGGGGATAAAATCTGTCAACTACATGACTTAAAGCTTCCTTTTTCCATTTCTTATTCTTGCATGGACGCACATGTAGGCTATAACTGCCCTGCTATATAACGATATCCTTTGAATGTCTTTTTCTGTGCCGATGTCTTTTTTCTCCTCTCTTTCCTGCTCCTTCCTCTTTGATTTCCTTCTCGAAGGGTCTTCAAATGATTTTTTCTCTCGTCAAAGTGCAAGGATTTTATTTTTAGCAGTTTTTCTTGTCTTCTCCTTCAGGCTAGGTCAGGACATTATTGGTGTTGTTGGCCTGTAAAGCCGACAGAGACCATGAAGTACTGGGGTTTACATAAACCTAACTTTAGAAGTTTGCGATCTTCTCCCGTCGATCTTTTCCCACCAATCAAATCCTATAGTCCTCCACACATTGAACCCTTAATTGTAGGCAAACACTTTGCATTTGTGATGTTGAAACTCCCTTTGTGATGATGAAAGAGTTGTAACATCTTCTTGCAGCAGTCAAGAACTCTTTGTAACCCACTACCATTCGTGCGTCACGCTTCAAGCAGAACCAACGGTCCTCAACAGTTTGTGGCTGTACAGTTGAGCAGGTGTGGATGTCATACTTGCCAACCCTCCCGATTTTCGCGGGAGACTCCCGATTTTATTGCCCTCTCCCGGTTTCTTCCCGGGGTCATATTTCTCCCGCATTTCTGACAAAATCAGATTTACTCAGGACTGTTTCCACTCGGACTTTAATACAGCTACACCATTGTTTGGTTTCCATGGTAGCGCGGCTCTTTAGTAGTGCGCGCAACTGACAGTCTGAGAGGATGAGGAAGAGAGTCACAGTAAACTGAACAAGAATCGACAACTCTAGGCCTACCCTCTGCTCACTCCTTTCCATGCTACAGGCCGCAAGACAGTGCACTAACAACTACAATAAGCATGTTAATGTTAAGCTAATACAGCTCCGGCGATCCCACTAGCCGCCCCCCCCCCCCCGCGGTGGTTTTGAAATGCTCCCGATTTCTGAGGTCTCAAGGTTGGCAAGTATGGGGGATGTGCCTGCCTGTATAAGACAGTAGAGCAAGCATGCTCAGCCACACTTCACTGGATAAATGAAATACACACACAGACACACACACACACACACATTGGTCCGATCTGCTCATTGTGCTAACAGTAGAGTGCTACAGTGTGGCCTTTGTGGCTCCCTGGTCCTGTAACAGTCTGTTAGTGAGGCCCTGATTCCCCCTCCCCACAGATAACACAGCTATTGTAGCAGCCCTCATTTTTCTCTAACAGGGACTCAATGGGCTTTATTGTGCCCCATCGGCAATCCACTCACTCCACTACAGCCCGCCAGGAAGAGAGACATTGAGAAGAGAATACCAAAAGGCAGGGTTTTGATCAAATTCATCACACATTTAAATCATCTATTCTTTCTTAGTTTAGTTAGTTTTTTTTTCTTTTTTTCGAGCGTGTAAAACCAAAGAAAATACAAATGAAACAAAAGATGATACAGACATGATACAGTAGCCTACTATACAAATGAATGCAATAACAAAACGAAATATTTAATTAATAATTGAATAATCTGTAGTATCATTGTCTGATATCAATAAACAACAACACTTTAGCTAATTACACGTCCGAAAAGGGGTCGGAAGAAGTTTACACTTATTTAATCCGACCCCTTCTCCCTTTTTTCTTTCTTTTTACATCTTAATATATGTTAACATACAATATCAATGTATACTTTAACCTTGAATAATTTATATAATCATTCATATAATATATACAGGCAAGTTAGGAGAATGGTCTCTATATATTTATATATATATATATATATATATATATATATACACACACATAATGTACATACACAAATTCATACAAACAGAATTCTTAACTTTTTTTGTCATTATTCATTTAATTCCACTAAGACTGTACTCAAAGTGATGGCAGAAAATGATTCCTAATTTACTTCCTGTCACCTATCTCACAAGCTATATTCCCAGACAAATTGGATGAGATAAGTCCAATCAAAAGACCAGTTCCCTTGAAATGAAACTGTTGCTTTACACCAACCTCAGCCAAAGATCACCAACCCTCCTCTGTTTCCTTGTCATTTTTGCATCAAGTGACGGCAGGGAATGTGACATAAAGGGCAAGGTCACCCACGGGAATCCTTCAACACCATGCTGCCATTTCACCTGGCATCAGCAGTGCTCCTCTTCTAAAAAACATGGAGGCTTGGAGAAAATATCTGCAGCAACAGAAGCAGTGGCT